AAGTTCACTCGTTCCTGGCAGTTTAATTTGGTCGTTGTTTTTTGATTAGAACAATTGATTAGAAAAAACTAATTAAAGGCAGGAAGGTGTCTTGGACAGATGCAACCCAACTCTGACAGCACCCGCCTGTGTGACGCCCAGCTTTCCGCAGAGGCTGACATTGCACATGGACGACACAGCTGAACCCTTTGGCAGCTGCCACTGGCCACCGCGTCCCTCAGCCTGCTGAGCTCTTGCAGGTTCAACCCACCCCAAAGCATCTCGCAGTACCACTGACTGTCACCTGCTGTCCTCTGCCCACCCGCCCCCTGCCACCCCTTGGGCAGAGCCAAGGGGCTCACCAGTGCTCCCTCAGGGGTGGCAGGGAAGAGGTCTCATTTCAGAGATGCTTGCTTCTTCCCATGATGTCACTTCTGTGCAAGACACCAACTGTTCGCCAGCAGGAGAAACACTACCTCCATTTTACTCTCCCTTTTGAGAAGATAAGTCCACCAAGCAGCTGGACTCAAAGCTCTTTTCCAGGATGGCTGCTAAGACCAAATGACACACTCCTCCTGATGCTGGCAATGACTAAGAGATACTAATTCAGCACGCTGCCTGAAATAACCTGTGCTTCGGGCTTTGCTCCCATCCTTAGTTTGTCCCTCTGCTATTTATTATGATTGGGGAGAAACAAAATAACTCGTGTGGAGCTGCTCTGGATGGCATTAGCTGTAGCTTCCTTGGTGCTGGCTCTACCTGGCTGCTGGAGCTCCTGGGAAAGTACCTCTCCTGCTAGATACTGGTGCACGATGGCATGCTGGCAGGTACAGGCAGGTCCTCGGTCATGAGGCGAGGTGAGTGGATGAAGTAGAAAAAGCAATGGTTCAAGTCCCCTCTTTAAAAGCAGCTGCCTGCTCAACTGCTCGTTTCATAAATCACATGCTGCGAGAGCTGATTTTTGTTTGCAGAACAACCGCCAGCTCCCATGGCAAGTGCGTGTGATGGTTATCCTGCAAAGAAAAAAATCTGCCATGGCTTCCCAAGGGTCGCTAGAAATACCACATCATGACTGCAAGCCTGCAGATTGAGAACTGTGCAATGTCACCAAAGGCAATGCAATGCAGGCTCTCCTGCAGGCAGAGCCGAGACCAGCTTTGCAGCAGATGTTATGGCATTTTGGGGGGAAGCAGCACCCCAAAACCAGCCGAGCACCAGTGATGGGGATGACCCTTTCATGGAGGCTGCCCTGAACAGAGGCTCAGCATGGTCCTGGAGTAGCTGGGATGAGCCCTTCCTATCGCAGATCAATTACAACTATGCAAAGTTATTTTTAATTGGACTAGAGATGCCAGAAAATAAACACTTGCAGCCACTGTGAGAGCATGGTCACAGCCTCTTCTTCAATGAGGCTTTTCTCATTTTGTCCTTCACACTGGTAACTGTTGGCAAATACTGAATTTGGGTCTAATGAAGCAAACTCCAGCCTTTTCTTGGTGCACGAGTGCCTGGCAGAGGTAACACCCTGTTTCCCCGGGCTGGCCCTTTCTTTATCCTCCAGCAGCCATCACAGGAGTTAAGCAGTCTGCCCGGGCTTGCAAACTTCTAGCGGTTCTGCAAAGAGCTTTTAGTCCACCTGCCGTGGGACACAACGGATGGGATGACACCATGCAAGTCAGAAGGCAAGAAACCTGAGTGCACTAACGGGCAGCGGCTGGTGCTGCAGTAAAAGGCTGAGGTTGGCAGTGGAGGCTGCAAGCGGGTCGGCTCTTACCTGACCACCTGCAAAAATGACAGGGGTGGAGGCGGGCTTTGGGCGGTAGGGAATGGTGGCACCTTTTGGTGGGGACTAGGAAAAGGGACAAGGAGAGGGAGAGAGAACATTAGAACAGCTTTCCTGAAACAGCGGCAAAAAGAGCGTTAGAAAGCACCCGACGGAGCACGGCCCCCGGGGCCGCCACCAGCAACACCCGCACCAGACAAACCGTGTTTCTGGACAGGAGGACACAGGGGAAATCAGTGTTTAATGGACAACGAGGACAACCTGGGGTACAGGAGATCCCCTGCCAAAGCACACGACCCTAAATCGCTTCTCGAACCTCTGCTGCCTCCGTTGCCTTTGCTCTGCTCTCTGCAAACTGCATCACCTGGTCTAGACTCGAGCCTGACACTGGAACACAGCGCCCTCCTCAAAACACCCCAAGGAGACTCTCAAGGTGCAGCAAGATGGGGAAGTACACCCATGGACCAGACTTTTCATTCCTGGCTGCCAGGAGCCTCCTCGTGCAGTGTGGCTTTCTTTGCAGCCTGAGAGCTCTTGCACATCAACAGCCCTCCCCGGAGTTGTACCAGCCCTGCCGAGCACAAGGAGCTGTGGCATGGCATCGTGAGCACTGGCATCAGAAGGAGTGAGCAGCCCATCTGAGCGACCCGGCATGATGCTCAAGGTCTTTGACCACTCTCATCTTCCTCACCACCAGAACAAGGTCACCTACAGGACTTGGTTTGGTCTATCACCATCCAAGCTGGGAGGTGGATGTGATCAAGACCTCCCATGCCCTTGTGGGACAAGTGGCAGTGATCACTTTGGCCAGCATGCTGAGCTCTGGAGGAGCCAGATGCTGGAAACCCTTCTCAGATGGCAACACCAGCGTTTCCAGAGATCTTATCCTATAGCTGCATCGTGGTAGCAGTCCATGTGAGCAGCCAGACAGACGCCAGCATCAGAGGCACCGACCCGTATGCACTCCCAGTCCTCCTCCTGTGGCAGTGTGACCTGGGGCAGACTTGCTCCAGCTGGCCAGGACATCTTGCTCCTCCCTGCTGTGGCCTGACTGGTACCTGGGTAGGGCCAAGCAGAAGCTGTAGTGATGCACATCAAACTGTAGTGATGCACATCAAGCTGTAGTGATGCATCCCACTGCGCGGTGCATGGGATCTTCTTACCCAAGTTATCTCTATTGGTTTTCTCTTGAACATAACTAACAGGCCATAGAAGAGATTTTTGAGGTTTCTAGAGATCAGGAGAGATATCAGATAAAAACTTCCTGGTTCTACCCGAAGTGAAATGACCCAGTTACTGCTATGTAAAGTTAGGCAATATAAATTACCCTATCTCATGGAAAATTCTTCATTTTTTTCTGTACTTTCTTTGAGATGTCCGCTTGTAGCCAAGTGGCACATCCAAATCTTCCTGCTAAGCACAGGTCTGCAGGAAAGCTGTATGATCAAAGCACAGCCTCTATAATCACAAACTTGCTTTTTCTTTTATTGCATTATAAATCTTGGAGGGGATGAGTGAGGATTTCTGCAGTAAGATAATTTAAGACTGAAAGGTTATAAGGAGCATCTCTGCGAACTGTCAAAGTCAGGGGACTTCCCAATTTCAGACTGCAAGAAAACTCATGGGGTTTTCTCTTTCCCGTTGCTGAGTCGTGCAGAGGAGCAGCAACCCTTGCTTTGGTCGATGAGAACAGCAGCTACCAAAGACTTTATAACACACCTGCAAGCATCACCTGGGGCCCATCTCTGCCACAGTCCAGAGCATAACCTGGAGTCCCCATGCAGCTAAAATTGCTCTCCTCTGGCAGCAGAGTGTACCTGCCTGAGCATCACTATGAGCAGCACCGGGTAATGTGGCTCATGGAAATTCCTCCTTAGCCATGCTGCTGCCAGACTGAAGTTGCTTACATTTTGATTTGCTTCACCTCCACTAAGCCTTGGCATCCTCATCTGAAGCTCTTGCAGCGGCAAACGCACTCCTCCCTGCCATGAAAGAGCAGTGGTGGGTGGGCTGTGCAGCAAGGCAGAGAGGCCTGATGTGGGTCTGTGCGGGTCCACCTCTGGGAGGCACCAGAAGCGGAGGGTGTCACCGTACTGTGTCCCAGGGGGTTTCCTCCTGGAGCTTCTCCCATCTGAGATGGCAGGTGTGGATGTGGGGTATGTGGCTCTGGTCATCCCTGGCAATAAGCCATTGTTACAGCAGCATCTCTCTATAGCAGAGATCTTCAAGCTCTGCTCATTAGCATGTCTCCCAGAAAACAGCACCCTGGACACATGTCCATGCACCCTATGGGGCCTGCTCTCCACCAGCCTTCCTCACTACCTTTCCCGCTGTGCCTCGCTGGAGCCTGGGTTTGCACTCCCAGCCCTGGCTCCCCCAGCACAGCAGATGCACCGGCGTCCTCCTCCCATCCGTGGTCCTCATGGGGCACTGTAAGCCCCGTGCAGAGGGGGCCAGGTGCTTGGTCAAGTGGCTGCAGCCCCCATCCCCTTCCCACGGCACCCTTGGCACTGCTGAGACACCAGGCTATGGCTGTCCCAGCCCATCTGACCTCCTCTGGCACCCTTCTCTCCTGAAGCCACCCTGTGCTACGATACAAACCATCTCCTTTGGGGCACCTGACCAGGCAGGTTTCCAGTGTGGGAATCTAGAAACAATGTACGAAGATGGTGGGCAAAACACACTGGGTGGGTTTCAGAGGTACCAGGAAATGAGTGGTCCAACAACATGTGGTGAAGGGTATGAGCGACACGCTCCACAGCTCCCAGCATTGTTGTGGTGCCAGCTGTTTTTTTTTTCCTATGTACTTTACCCCCTTTGTTACAGACTGTACCTCCAGCATCACCACACAGATCTGTTTGACACACTGGATAATTGCGTCGGGTGTCCCCGAGATTGTCACCGCCCGCTCCGTGGAGTTGGGGAGCATGTCCCCCGCCACTTGAACCTGAGCACCTGTTGACTGAAGACAGAAAGAGAGAGGAGGAGAAATCCCACAGCTGAATGCCTTGCAGCCAGCTCCAACTCTGACGCCACACGCTTCCCGAGAGCTGCACTGCCCCGTGCGAGCTCAGATGCGGCAACCTGCCTGCGTCCACAGGAGCATGCTGGCAAGGTCCCATGGGATGCTGCTTGTCAGCAGGACCATCCTGGGAAGCAACGTGATGCATGATGCTTGCAACATAAGGATCCCCCTTTCCAAGGCAGCTCCCGCTCCTCCTTGGTTGGAGGTGAGATTACATGCAATAACAAAACCAGGTCTGCCTTACCTCCCTGATTTCCTTGATCTTGGAGCCTCCTTTGCCGATCAGCGAGCCGCACTGACTAGCTGGCACGACCAGTCTCAGCGTCACCGGAGGTTTGCTGGTAGCAGTGCTGTTGCTCATTGAATTGGTTATGTCCTTGGGAAGGAAGAATGCAAACACATCAGCCCTTGGTACCCAACCAGACGCCTGCCATCCAGGCCAACCCAAATGCCCTGGGCCAGAGAAGAGGGGTCATGTCCCCAGACCCTGGCTGGTCTGCAGCTGCATCCCTGCAGTTAATTAACTGCAAGACCTCTGGGACACTTCACTGAAGCTCAGTTGTTGCCTAGTTAGAGATGTCTGGAAGGTTTTGTGCTGAGGTTGTGTACCAGTTAGGCAAGTCCAACCAGACATGCAAGGGTTGGAGGTACCCAGGCCCATCTGCACTGCTGGCCCTGGCAGTGGGCATGCCGGAGCTCTGCTTGGCCGGTTGGCCACCCAAGGGTCTGGATGCAGACCATTTTACTCTGCCCTCCTGGGGCAAAGGGCTTACATTGCTTACCTCCTCAAATTTGTAGGCAATCATGGCGAAAGCCTTGAAGATGGCATCAGTGGGGCCGGTGATGGTCACAATTCGCTCAGGGCAGTTCCCCTCTGAGATGTTGATCCTTGCCCCGCTCTGGAAAGAGAAGGGCAGCCCTGGAATAACGACAGCCAAGCAACCAGCGGGGATGCACCAGAGGTGCAGCCCTTCCTCCAGGTTGGATCCTGTCCCAGCCTGGGAAGGTTCAGCACCCAACAGCAGAAGCTCAGAGAGTCCCAGGTGACCAGCAAATACATCACTCACGTGGTCCCTGGTCATCACCTCTGCCAGCCTCTCAACATCCCATCTAACCTTAAAAACTCCCACTCCTTCCCCCTTTGGTGCTTCCAGCACTGTCTTACCCCAACCATCTGAAAGGGTCTCCGAGCAACCACTTTGGGTCTTTTACTGCAGCGCAAACCCATGCGATCAAGGCAAGACCAGCTCACAGGGTCATTGCTTGTAAAAAGAAGTGTTGCTTACTGAGCTGGTAACTTCTTGGTAGCTGCAGGCACAAAGACCTTGGGCAAACTCAAGCATCTTACGAGTGACTTCATTTCACTGTTTCATTAAGAGCAAATTCTTGGCTCTGGAAAATTCCCATTAAATGTTATAGGAGTTTGTTTCAGTGTGGAGTGAGAAAACTGGGCCAAAGAGCTCTGGGCATGGCCAGCTTGTGTGTCCTGACCCTAGGGGTTACTGCACATACTGCACAGGGCAATGTGCAGCTCTGGCTGCTGCTGCTGGGCAGGAGAGTCTGACGGCCCTTCCCGCTCCTCTCCCCTCCTCCTACAAATCCTTCTACAGAGCAGGGTTGCTCACCTCCTCACGCATCTTCTTCACAGTCTCTCCTTTCTGAAAAAGGAAGCAGAAACACAGGCTATTATTAAAAACTCAAGACTTTCACCTTCAAAACAACCCTTCTGAACATGCATCTCTCTAATACGTGGCAACATGTAGCCAAACATTTGGGCAGCTCTGTGATGCCTGGCCCTCCGTCCTCACACGATGGGCAGGCTGAAGAGCTGAGGGTGTAAGCCATTGCAGCCCTGCTCTCCGTGTCTGTAAGACATGACAGACAAACCAGCTACACAACTGCAGCTTCCACCTCCATTTCTATGTTTTCCATTAGGAGGAAAACTGCATGGAAAAAGCTCAGAAACTGATCAGATGTTGAGAAAAGCTGGCACTTCAGAGTGATTTCGAAGGGCAGTTACCTAGTATCTACAGAGACATCTAATATCTTTATATTCAGATATAAAGCAGGTACAACTGTGAATCTTTCCAGGGCTGGACAGGGTGATGGAAAAATAAGATGCAAGCATATATGAGAAGGTGTTCATGCTACAAATCTCTGCTGCCACAAACCTGCCTTTTAAAAACACCAAAAACCCAATCCTGTATAGCCAGGAATTTCCAAACCACCACGGCAAGCGCCAAGGAGCAGAGCACCTCATGAAGCTTTTCTGCACAAGCTAAATGATATCCTGTGGCCTCAGAGACAAGTGCTGTAGAATTTAAATGGGTCTGCATGACAGTTCTTAATCTCTCTTAGTGAATCTATTTGATTAAAATGTCAGGGCAACATGATCATAAACACCTATTCATCACCGCAGTGAAGGAGCTGGAAATGGCACTAGATAAGTTTGGTGGTTGGGGTTTTTTTAGGGGAATAGTCTTTAATCCCTCTGTGGGTCTCTCATAATTTCTGTCTCACAAATGCAGCAACAAGCTCATGCACACCAAACATTTAAGGATATCACAGGGAAGAGGTGACTGGCATCTACCACACCATAGGCAGCAAATGGTGCAGGCAATAGCATTAAATACACATTCAAAAGACATCCTTACCTTTCCAATGATGCTTCCAACTTCCTACAAAAAAAGGCCAAACACAAAGGAATTGACATTACAAAATATGAAGACAATCTAGCCCAACCCCATAATGAAGGAAAGACCTGGTGCACACTCCCTCCAGCAGAAGGGCAAGGCGGGGGGCGGGCATAAGAGGGGCCACGAGCACCGTGCCACCATGCCACCCTCCCCATCAGCAAGAGGACACCTACTTCCGGCAGCCCGGGGCTGTGGAGGCAGTGTGTGGGGCTGGCCGGACTCGGGCACAGCCAGAGTGGAGGCGGGAGAAGTAGCTGTGAGGAATCCCCTTTGCAGGGAGCCCCTTACCTTGCCATGCATCAGCAGCCGGATGGTGAGGGTGACGTTCAGGCCGCCTTCGGAGACTTTTGACTCCATTTCCTACCGAGGGATGGGAGACGTGTGTTAGCTGGGAGGGCAGCCCCAACGCAGAAGGAGACAGCACAACGGCCTTATCACCTGGGGACAGAGAGGGGGAAAGGTTTTCTCTCAAAACAGGCAAGTTCCTCAACATGGGATGGACCCTGCAGAGCAGCCAGGGCATGAGAAAGCCACAGCTGGAGGAACTGCGGGGAGATGTCATGGGCTGAGCACTTCATGGGTGCAGATGGCGCTGCAGGGACCATGTTGGGTGCGAGCCTGGGAACAGCCCGAAGCTCTGCCACGGCTTTGCCACCAGCTTTATGCAAAAGCCATCATGGGATCAAAGACTCAATTGTCCAAGGTGGCACAGCTAGATGGCTAGCCCACACCTGCATGAGCCAAAAAGCAGCCATGCCCAGCTGAATGTGTGGATGTGGGAGCAGGGAGTTGGCAGAGCAGCCTGGCCAAAGACCAATGGCTGAACTGGGACTTTAAAAGACCCAGGGCACCTATCTAGCAAACCAAAATTCACCATTTCAAGTGTGAATGGGTACTCAGAAAATCAAAAGCCATTTTTTCAGTAACTAGGGTATCTATCTGACCCCAGGAGCACAGAGCAGGAAGAATGGAGCTGGTGTCCCGACTGCTAAACATCTGCGTTTTTCATCTCGACCTGTGAACACCCTAGCTGGGCACTGCGTCTCAGGACCACGCCATTTCCAGCCATTCATGCTTTGCATGTATCTAATGAAACCTCTGCGAGTTTTCCTGGTGCTGTTGTGTTCCTTTCCCTTCCTATTCTCTCTCTTTCCTCCTCCGCCCTCTAGAGGCAAGAATGCCACTGATATTTTGAAGGCGGGGGGAGAAAAATCACAGAACGGCAACAAATTCTTTCCTGAAACCTCTTTAGTAGCATGTCTGCGTGAGGACCAGGCATGTGAAATGTCTCTGCAGCCTACTGCATGGGGAGACCAGTCCTGTCTCAGAGGGAGGTGCCAGCATCCTTCTACATGCAATGCGGAGAGACTTGCAGCAATTCTCCCCCATGTTATTTAATCCCTCAGTATATATCGGATGGGAGATTCTTCATCCTGGTCACGAGCATCCGGCATTTTCCTTTGCTCAGACGGGGACTTATGTGACCAAAAAATGGGAGGTAAACCAGTTTTTAAGTATTATTTTAACGCAAAGAGGCAGTTGGGATGAATAAACAGGCAGAAATGTACAAATCATGGCTGGGAGATAGGTTTGATGTAAAACCTCCTCTTCCAAGAGGTTCTTATGAAACCCAAAATGGATAAAACATACGTGGTTAGCAGGGAGATGGTGTTCCCACTGAGCTAACAGGAGACAGGCTCATTGGGAATGAGGTTGCTTATAACCTACTTGCAAATGCTGAGCTTGAGGCTGCTGGATGTTACAAATGAAAAAAAAGTAAAATCCTCCCAAGAAGGATAAGAAATGGAATGCGTTGAAGATGTCAAGCCAAAAGGCACTGTTAAGGGTGGGGAGGAGGAGAATGTTTCAGAGGAAGAAGGTGATGATGTTGGGGACCAGAGCAATGGGAGTGGCCTGACACACAATAGCACAACACGCGAGATCAGGAACTTTCTCTTTCAAGAATGAGCCCACTGCAGGCAAACAATAAAGGAAAATAAATAACTGGTTGTGTTGGTTAACCCAGTGCTGATTTCTGTGCATGGGAAGCAATGCTGAAAAGGATGAACGTGCTGATTTGTGGAGGTCAGCGTTGCTGGTGCTTCTGGTGTGCCAGGAGATAAAGTGCCTGCATGGAAGAGGTGCCCCATCACACAGGGGCACAGCCATCCCCAGGGATGTCCTGTCCCAGGAGCAATCTAGCCCTGCCACAGGGAAAGAAACAAAGCCATGACACCACTGCAGCCACCCATGAGGCTGGTGCATGCCCATATAGAGGCGCAGCTCCCTTTCCCAGCTGCTCATCCTCTGACAGCAGAGCTAGAGGAGGGTAGAGGCTGTTCACAGCTGATGGTCAAGGCATATGCTCAGGCAGTGGCTTTCATGACTTGCAGAGGCAGTACTCACAAAGCCATCCCACTCTGCACACCACTCCGAGGGCTTTCTTTTGTAAACTGCCCAACCGTGGGCAGCTACAGCCCAGGTGCCAGCCCCACGGCTGGGAGCTGGCAGGTGAGGTTGGGACCCTGGAGCAGTCTGGGCTTTGCCACTGGGGCGATGGACCCCAAAGCCCAGCTGGGTAGCTGAGGTGCTCTAAACCTGGGCACATCCTTGTGGCAGTGGGAGAGCTGGCAGTCCCAGTGAGGTGGGTCACAACTTGCCCACTAAGGACTGGCCAAATTCGCCGTTTTGCTTTCACCAAATGTCCTACAGTGGCAGTGCTTAGTGCAGGGGTGTCTGCCATCCCCTGCTCCACATCCCTCACAGGAGGAACCCTGCATCAGGCCATTATGTAAATGTTTCCAATTGATTGAAAAAGTGGGTCATGTGTTAGCCAAATGCTCCTGGCTTTAAGATTTATCAGCATTATTAAATTAAACACGCTTCACGCTCCAGTGAGCGGGAAAGCTACATTGGCCTTTTCTTAATCATACTAGTGAAAGGTAAGTCTTTTATATGGGAGTTCATAAACTCAATGGAAATGACGGGAACAATAGAGCTGAGGCATTTACCCTGGGCGTGTGCCTCCCTCCACAGCTCTCATTCTTCACGGACAAAGGGCTGGGAAAAATTATCCCCCAAACGCCATTTTGAGCATTTCCAAGCACTCCCTGCCTAGAGAGAGACCCATCTTGGACCCTTCCTCTTTACCGTCTCATTCTGCCTAGTTTACAGCAGCTTTGAAATGGCTTCTTTGTCCATCTACTTGAAAGCCCTGAAGACACTATTACATCCAGTCCAATGGACAGAGTAGATCCAGAGCCCAACTCCAGCCCAGTGCAAAGCAGGTGCAGCCCCGCAGAGGTCAGAGACGCAGCATTAGGAGACAGAAGTGTTGAGTTTGGCCCCGAAATGGAAGCTGCACAGTGAGCCAAGCAAGGCCCTGCCGAGTATCATGCCTGGGCAACCGCAGATGGAGGACTGGAGCAGCACCCTGCCACAGGCGGCCATCGCGGGGAGCAGCCAAACGTCTTTGCACCACAGTGAGGGGAGCTCTGCAGGGTGGGGAGCACGGTGCCTGGTGCTGAGCTGTCCCAAAACAGCTGAGTAACATCTTTCCAAAGGATGATTCCGTTGCAGAGTACATAGATCTTTAAAACGCACCTGCCTTTTGGGAGAGTGCTTGGAGGAGGCATCGTCATTACTCAGAGCAATTCAGTTCTTCCCTCTCCCTTGGTTTTGAGATTAAATATATTAAATTCTGGGAAATTTCCTTAATCTATCAGGAATTCCCCGTGTCTGAAAAAGCAGGTCAGGCACCAGTGACCATGGAGAAGAAGGAGAAGAGGAAAGAACATGGAAACCCAGAATAGCAGAAAGACTCCTGTTCCCCACACGCGAACATACACACTCCAATTTTCCTCCTTTCCAGTTTTTTGAAAGTTGGAGCAACTGCCTAAGCTGGCGCTCTTGCCCTTATACTTGCTGATACCTCAACAAAAACTGACACTCTCCTAAAATTTGAGCAAAATCTTCTAATTAAGGGAATTCTCAACACCATGTAGTAAATTAATTTAATACCGTGATTGTCTCCCAGATGGGAGACAGCACATGAAGCAGAATAGGGGGAGGGAGACCAAGCTCTGGGCTGGACTTTGTTCTCCAGCCTGGTTTCCAAACAGGAGCTGGAAAAGCGGATGCTGGGATCCCCGCAGCCCCCTCTGGACAGGCGATAGCAGGGGGCTCAGTTGAGCTCTGGCAGAGCTGGTGTCCCTGCAGGGGCTGGGAGACATTGCTGGCTCCACGCTTGCTGATGCCAGCCCTCCTCCTCCTCCTCTTCCTTCTCCCATGCATCCTCCTGGGCTCCCCAGGCACATTAGCCACACGTGAGTGAGTCCTGAAGCGGAGCTCCAGCAAACGCTGCCTATGCCTCCTCTGCAAATGCCCAGCAGAGAGCCAAGGCATCTGCTGCCAGTACTGGGGGGCAGCTCCCTCGAGACAGCCCCTGCCACCACAGGGCGCAGTAGCAGCAGCTTGCGTTTTGGAGAAGGTGGTTCAGGCTCCATCACAAAACTGTTCTTGTCTTGGCACTAGCATTGCAGACCCCAACTCCAAAGGGAGGGTCTCTCTTATCTGCACTAAAGTCACCCTGGTGCCTCTGAGATGGACGGTCCTGCCAGAAGACAGACACACAAGGTAGAGTTTATTTGGTAGATCTTGTCATGGAATATTCTCATCAGCATTACGGAGATCAAATTTCATTGCTTTATCTAGGTATTTGTTTTGGGAGACAGCAACTCTTTGTTTAAGCTGTCTGAAAACAAATAGAGAGGACAACTCAGTACAAAAACATCCCACAGGCATAACCACCCCCTCCCTGAAAGGTTTGGATGGAAAGTTCACAGGCACTACCAAGCAAACTCAATGAACAAAGTCTCCATCACCCCCCTCACCCATCACATGGCCTCCGGAAAATCACACATTCTTGACAGGTTTGGTCAGTGCAGGCTGATAAACTCCAACACCTTGGAGCCCTGTTGACCAAGAGCCCTTGCCAGCCCATGCAGATAAAGTGCAGGGTGGGTGGGGCACCGGTCTGGTCAGGGATGTTGTGCCACCTGCCCAGAGGACCACCCCTGAGACCCTAACCGGGAGCATCTGGACAGTTGCTCAATGGCAATGCTATCCTGAAAAGCATCCAACACGCTTCCCGGGCTCTTTGGTGCTTCAGGAGCCCCACCAACAGAAAGCCAAGTGTTAAAGATGGACCACAAAGCTTCAATGTCCTTCAGTGTCCACCGCAACAGGCGATGGCATGGCCCAGATTTCTAATGTGGTTGGCAGACTTTCATGTTGGGGATTAATATCTTGGCCAGAAAGTCCATCACTCAAGACAACATTTTCCACTGCGAGGGAGGAAA